TATCTATCTATCTATCTATCTATCTATCTATCTATCTATCACACACACACACACACACACACACACACACACACACACACACACCAGACACACACACACACACACACACACCAGACACACACACACAGACACACACAAAGGGGGTACGAAAGGGGGTCCGAAATCCCCCGACAGGTGAGTGCGCTGGGGGGCGCCGGCCCCCAACCAGTTGCCCTGCCCGGCCAGGCCACCGGGGACCTCCCCCGGGCCCTTCTGGTCACCTGGGCGGCCCGGATCCCCACTCAGAAAAAAAGAGAATATCCACGACTGCCAAGTGTGGCAAGTACTTTGTACATTCATTCATGATTTAGTAGGACAAAGATACAAAGGATTCCCAAAATAGCCCAACGATACGAGAGAACTTCACAGTGAAGAACCTACGTCTAGACCTACCAATATGAATTCATGAGATAAATCATAGGGAAATTCAAAGAGAAAAATTCATAGAGAAATTCACAGAGAAAAATTCATAGAGAAATTCATAGAGAAAAATTCATAGAGAAATTTAATATGGGTCCCTCTCATTGAACATGTGTTGCCTTTCTCTCCATGGTATAGCGGAGCGATGGACCTCTCATGTTGCCATGAGAGGGACCCATATTAAGCCCACACAACAAATCCTCGACCTCCAAGGCTCCAATACTTATCCTAGGTAGGGGTAACCTTTTTCCTTTTTCATCCTTGCTATACCATAATAACTTAATAAGAGTACACTCACGGCCAGGAGAGGTCCTCAGCTGACACTCCCTTACTACCCTTGTCTTTCGAGAATTTGGGGAGGGAATGTGTCAAACCACCCAAGAGGTAGCCAGCTCTCCTCAGTAAATCCAAGATGCCCAGGGAGAGGTCCCATTTACACAGGCCGGGCATTTCTGGCTGTAGATTGAGAATGACTGAAAGCAAAATATCTGTCTAAGTGGGGCCTTGCCCCAAATGTGTTATGTAATGTCCCATCCGTATGCACTGCACGATGGTTTTTTTTTTTTTTTCTGCTTCTTCCCAGCACGTGCTGCTCCCTACAAATAGATCAGATCTTTGTTTTAAATATAAAAAAAAGAGACCCCATCCGTCCGTATACATACAGATAGCGTGAACCTGCTTCACCATAGGTGCTGTCCATTACACATTTGGTCATCAGGTTATTTTGCCAATGTGCAACTTTTTAAGGGACGACTTCGCAACTCGCCTTTCGTTAGATTTGATAGACAAACAATTCTGTCAAATACTTCATTTCCGTAATGGACTCTACTACTTCATTAGCTCACCTAAAAGCCTTTCCAAAAAAGGACTATGCAATGCTCGAGCAGGTGAGTAGGGGTTTTAATCCTCCATCCCACTTCTCTGCCTGCATTGTGCATGAACGTGGGCATTACATGGCCATTGTACATGCCTCTGACCACTGGGAGCTGTGGGACAACGGCATCATGGTCCATGCCATGACTGATGTGACTGATTTCTTACATAATAATATGTTTTTTTCTTGCCGCACCAAACCGTCCGCAGTCTCTTTTATGTCGAAGATCATTCCTTTGGCCCAGTGCTGCAGCAGGACAACGTACCAAAACTCTGCGACCTTCTGCCTTGCACAACTACAAACACTGTTACACTCGGCTGTAGCTGCCATCGTCTATGTCACAATCACAACTATGACATGGTTTCGGCATCCATGTTTGTAGAGGACTGTCTCTCAATGCCTGACTTCAGGTACCGTCCACATCGGGGCACTATATGTCTATTTTGCGGCCATGGGCGCTATACTGAATGCATGGTCTTTTGCAGTGAACGTTCTTCCTTCATGTTGGCCTGCAATCGACATGCCATTTGTCGGGGGAGTATGGTCTTATTTTTTTTATTTTATTTTTTTCCGGTTGTTTCACCAAGTGCACTCTTAGTTCATAGATATGTGACAAGTGATTTATGTATGCCTACTATGCCTGGTGATCCGTAGGCAGAGGGAGAAAAGGATAACAAACAAGGCGCCGTGACAGATTGTTTTGTCCGAGCTTCACTGACTCATCACAAGACTGAACCCTCTACAGTATGCAGAGTCCCCTAACCCATGATACTGTAAGTCAGAGTCCATCAACCACTGCCCAACAACCCAGCTCCCTCAACTCGGGTAACTATCTTAGTATCTTTCTGAAAAATCAAAAGAGAAGCAAATGACAAAACTTGAGTAGATTACTCACCGAATGGTTCAGAAGACTCGCCATTGGGACAAGGCAGCTCTTTGTTGATCCATTAGGAAATAAAACTTTAATTCCATATGCATACCACAGTTCAGCCGCCCAGAGGAAATGAGGCCAAGTGAATTGATCCTGAGGAAAGAACTCTGGGAAGTTGTCTGCTAGAGTTGGGAAGAGTGCCTCGTACTCCATGTGAAGGTGCTGCACACACAGAGACAGACAGACAGACAGACAGACAGACAGACAGACAGACAGACACAGAGAGAGAGAGACAGACACACACACACACACACACACACACACACACACACACACACAGAGAGAGAGAGAGAGAGAGGAGAATTGAAGGAAAATCCAAACCCGAAGCCATGTCATCGATTAGTATAAATACGAATTTAAAATAAAAATCAAATACTAAAAATATTATTTTAAAATAAATAATCATAATGAAAATTAGAAACAATAGTAGGCAAGCACGTTTTTGACACCGCCATCTTTGGCGATTTTTATTTTTTTGTTTTGGCTGTGACAAATGCCATGAAAATTTATGTATGTGTATCTTACATAATAGGGAATCTACAAATAAAGTTTGAAAAAATACTACTTTTTTTCTGTGTATCATCGTGTTCGGGTTCGGTGACCGAACCCGAACGTTTGGAACCGAACGCGAACGAGTGCCGAAACTCTCCGAACGCGAACATAAAAAAAAAAAAAAAAAAAAAAAGTTCTCCAAAAAATCTGAAAAAAATATATGTTATGTAAAATAATAATACAAACAACTTTTGCCTTGGAGGTATGGTCAAATTCGTGACCAAACTCGAGTTAAAAATCAAAAACAAAAAAAAAGTTTTTTTTTTTTTTTTTTTTTTTTTTTTTATATATGTTCGGCCGAACACGTTCGGGTGGCGTTGTCATTCGGCCGAACACCCGAACATGTTCGGACGTTCGGAAAAGCTCCGAGCATGTTCGGTGTGATACACAGCTTTTTTTCATGCCCCGAAATAAAGGAAAAACAAAAAGTGGAAAGAGAGAAAAAACAAATTAGTGATTGGGCAAGCAAGTTTTGACACCACCATCTTTGCCGATTTTTTTTTTTTTTTTGGCTGAACAGAATAGCTTCAAAATTAGGAGGGACATACATTACATCACAAAGAACTCACAAAAAAACTTCAGAAAAACATAATAATATTTAGGTGCCAAAATATTTTTTTGCAGGGTACGAACCCCTTCAGGTTCGGGCCCCATACGGGGACCCGAACCCGAACGCCCGAACGCTCGGCGGTCAGCTTAGGGGCCTCCGTACGTTAGGCCTGGCAACCCTGGTCGCAATTTCTACTTTTCAGTGCCATTTATATCATTTTCATGACGCAAAGAACAATGACATCCCTCTATTTTTCCAGTCACAGAAAGTGGACCAAGGAAAGTCTTTTTTATTTTAAATAACTCTTCTCCCTTTTTTTCCCTCTTTTAAGGGTCATGCTAATCTTCTCTGTATCGTTCCAATTTTAACGGATGTCCCAAAGGACGATAGGATCAGGAAAAATCTAAAAACAAGTCAAAAGGAAAACTGGAAATACTTCAAGAAAACACCATAAGTGAAAGGGAAGATGAATTTGGAATCAGAAAATGGGAAGGGCTGAGCCCAGGAAAAGGAACAGGAGAGGCCAATTCCCAGCACTGCAAACATGCACAGGAGAGTCAATGCACTCACACAAGTGTGGATACCCCGGGCTACATACGTAAGTCGGCATTGAGAGCAAATCTCGAAAACAGAGAAAACAAGAGTCCTTTAAGTCGGCATTGAGAGCAAATCTCGAAAACAGAGAAAACAAGAGTCCTTGCCAGAGGTAGCGCTACCCCGGACGAGCGCGTCTGTGACAAGCGGCGCGCAAATTTGCCGCGCGTGAAAATTGTGCACTTCCTTTCGAATTGAATCCGCCAACGTAGTGGGGTGGGCGCCACGTCACGCCACGATCATTACACGTCATGCCACGCCCTCGGGCGTGGTGGATTCTATTTTGCGACAGTGACGGGAGGCAAAGGCGACATATACATCCTTCGGTTATGAGATGGGAGTCACGCCTTCGGGCGTGGCGGAATCAAGTTGGCGATAAGAGAAGGGCGGCAAAGGTGAGACGGGAGTCATGCCTTCGCGTGTGGCGGAATCAAGCTTGCGATACGAGAAGGGCGGCAAAGGTGAGAAGGGCATTTCTTTGGATACGAGTACATAGGAAAAGATAATGAACTGAATGCGTTACATAAAGGGAAGGAAAATCGCGACACGAGACGACCGACAAAGGTGAGAAGGACTTTCTTAGGACAAGAGTCGGGCGGGAAAAGAAAGAGAAGTGCTTACGATAAGAGTCGGGTGGAAAAGGGAGGTGAATGGGATACGTGACGAAAGACGTAAAAAGTGAAAGGAAGCGAGGGGAGGAGGAAACGGTGAAAGGAAGAGAGGGGAGGAGGAAAGAGAGTATCGAACGGAGAGGATAAAAAGAGTCGAGCGCTCAGAGTTGAAGGGCCATCATTCAGAATCCAATCGGCCAACAATATAGAGGGAAGTATAATAGGTCGAATACTCTTTCTTGGAGGAAAAGCCAGAGAAGTGTTCGCGATAAGTGACGGGAAGGAACGAAGTAAGAAGTCAAGGGTGAAGGAAAGTGAAGGGAGGATGGAATAGAGGTTCGAACGGAGAAGAAAAAGTGAGTGGAGTGCTTACAATCGATCACCTTCGTTCTCATTCAAATCGGCCAACAATTATGCATCTTCATTCTCATTTGAATCTGCCAACACGATGTGGATGGGATACGTGGCGGAAGGGAACGAAGAAAGAAGTAAGGGGTGAAAGGAAGCGAGGGGAGGAGGGAGGACAGTTTCGAACGGACAAGATAAAGAGAGTCGCACGCTCAGAATTGAGCGCCTTCATTCGCATTCGACTCAGCCAAAAAGAGAGCGGGGGGTATAAGAGGTTGTGTACTCATTCTTGGTGGAAAGGACAGAGAAGGGAATGAGATACGTCACGAGAAGGAACGAAGAAAAAAGTAAAGGGTGAAGGGAAGTGAGAGGAGAAGGGGAGAGAGTTTCCAACGGAGAATATAAAGAGAGTCAAGCACTCAGAATTGAGCGCCTTCATTCGCATTCGAATCTTACAACAATATCGCGGGAGGTATAAGAAGTCGAGTACTTATTCTTGCGATACGGGATAGGCCGGCGAGACATACGTTCATGGGATAAGTTACTGAAGGGAAAGGAGAAAGAAGTTGAGGGTGAAAGCAAGCGAGGGGAGGGGGGAAGTGAAACGATAGCAGAAGGATAGGTGTTTCCCACTACAAGGGGATTGAATATCAGGGTGAATAGACCACCCATGGTCATTGATGCAGTATTTAGAGTGAAAGTCATTCTGCTCCGTGCCATTTCTGAACGACGGGACAACAACGGGACAACCTGTGAGTGTCAGTCACATCAACATTGCCGGGAGATATAGTCACTTCAGTATCGAAGGGTAAGCAAGTAAACATCGAAAAAACACCAGGTAAGAAATCCTTAGCACATCAACTGGGTTGAAAACAAAGTAAAAGGTTTGTTCATTGCTGTATCAGGAGGGATCGACGAACAGGGAAGAAGACAGGGGAACAAAACCAAACATGGCAACGTCATATTCGGCGGTAGCCCAGAGGGCAATGAATGAAAGAGAGAAGTATGATTTCAATCAAAAGAAGGGAGGAATATTAGGGAATCAATCATCCCAGTCGGCATCGCAAAATCAAAAGAAGGGAGGAATATCAGGGAATCAATCATCCCAGTCGGCATCGCCATCCGGAACAAACATAAGAATGGGGGGATCGAAGCCACGCATGTTGGGCCAAAAAGCAATGGAATTCCTGCTCGACAAAACGTAAATCAAGGCAGATGTGAAGGTGACGAAGGAAGTAATCAAGGGAGAGGGAGGAAAGGAAGAGGAGGTGGAAGTTTGGGAATACCCGGAAGAGGATATACAGTCTCTTCATGAGCTATATGAGAAACACGCAATCATTTTCAACTTCTCAGGAAGAAGCAGGGAACTTTCTCTTAATGAAAAGAAAAGATGGGTAATGGATAGATTACAGGCAATGGAAAGCATCCCGGGAGGGGAACCGGATGTTTCGTATCATAAGAGGGGAAGGTTTGCGGTGATGATTGTGTGTGTGGACCGAGCTTACGCCCAGCATCTGCTGGCGATAGGATCGTTAAAATGCAAGGGAGCAGTGGTTACCATCCAGGCCTGGAAACCACCAAGACTCCCACAGGCGGAGGCGTCGAGGCATAGACAAACAATGATGAGGAATCATTTCTGGGTTCGATAATTTGTCGGAGGGGATGCACAGTTTTGTTCAGAAGAGGCTAGAAGAAGAATTCCCCAACAATCCAATCATAGATTGGCTCCCTGCTAACCCGGATTTCCTGGCACCGAATCATGACTCTCGGGTGGCATGTCTGGAGGTTAAATCAGGTGCTCCGCCGAAATTTTCTGATCAATGGATTTTTAGGAAGAGTGGGCMRAGGATAACTGWRTTTATATCATCCAAAACGAATCCATTCTGTTTCAAATGTAGGGGAAGAGGGCATTTGGGACCTTTCTGTCCGCAGGGGACGGCAGGAGGGAAGCAGATTCCGTTGCGTCAGTCTATGATGCAGGAATGTGAGAGTAAACCGGGAGTCTGGTACATCAATTCCCCACAATATAGGGGGCGGATTTTTTATGACAATCTGGACAACCCCAGATGGGTGTGGGTGTTGATGGGTGTGGGTGTTGAAGAAGGACCCCACGATCAAACCAAACATATACCCCCCCATGACAGTAGATGGAGACAGACTAGAGCAAAGAGAATGGAAGACAAGGAAAGGGGATACATCACGAAACCAATGTTCGATGATACAATTATGCAGGACGTGCAACAAAGATTGCAGCTCATGAATGACCTCCACACGGTCGATAAGAATGCAAAAATGGCTTTTTTGGAAAATGAGGCGGCCAGAGCACAGCAACTGGAACAGCAAATGGAAAACGAGGGGACCTCGGGGGAAATAGAGGAAGAACAGGGGGAA